CTTCGTTAGTGACCTTTCTATCTAGTTCACTTATTGTCTTGCAAATTAGGTTAACAAAATGCACATTTAGCCCGTTAATGATAAATGAACAAAAAAGCTAACAATGCATCTGACACAATGAATTTTTCTTCTACTCAGTCCATTTGATTGTTTGTTTTGAAAGGACACTGAATGGAGGATTAAAGCACAGCCCATAAAAACTGCTTCTGTGGTTCTGGGAGATCTTTTAAAAATTGGGAGAAAAAAGCCAGATAATGTCAACAGAAAGCCCACGTCACAACCTGGTGCTGTGGGCTTTCAAAGAAGTGAGCACTTAGGAGGCAGGACAGATCTAATAAAAGATGGTGCTGAGGATTATGGTCAATGTAGGATCCAGTTTATTTTCAGAGCTGCCACAACATTAAAACCATCAGCTTCATACTGTGTAGGTCCCACTTGTGCTGCCAAAACTATTGTGACCCTTCGGGGCACAGACATGGGACGTCTGGCGGTGTCCTGTGTTGTTTGACACCAGGACTGCAGCAGTGGATTATTGGGGTCCTGAGGTTTCCTCCTGAGTGGTTTCTGTGGTGTGGAGGGGTACACGGGGCGAGGCCGCTGCATGCCGTCTAAGAATACCATTGTCTAGGGGGGCGTGCTCGATCTGCAGCAGTGTTTAGGTGGGTGGCCTGTTTCAAAGTAGCCTAAAATCCACATGAATGCCAGGATCTTGGACCTCCTGGCAGCATATTGCATTGTAACAAGATTATCAGTGTTATTCACGTCACCTGTCAGTGGTTTTAATCTTGTGGCTGAACGCTGTACAGTCAGGCCTGCTGCTTTTGATGTTCACCATTCATCTTTTAATCTGTCGTTCGTGAGTTTCTGAACTTTTGGGAAGTGCAGCGCTTCACTGCCCAAGTGCCACTTTAACAAGGCTATAATTACTGATGGCTCAGTGAATTAATTAATAAATGTCTATACTGGGCGCGTTACATCAGCGGCCAACAGGAGGTGACACATAAGCATCTTGTGACAGAACCCTGCGACCGGCGAGATTGGTTGTATTTCTAGCGATGCTCTCAGTAGGTTATACAAGACCTGCCCTGTATTAATTTAAAGAAGCTTATATTTAAGTTAACTGTGAACTCTGTGTACAAAGAAAATTGGTTTTAATGTGATAAAAACTGTATTTCAAAGAAAAAGATCGACACACCTCTCATCACAAGCAGACACATCACAGCTGTGACACATCTATGGAGGAGTGAGAGTGTCAAATTACAAAAATAAATCAATAAAAGAATAATAAAATAAAAGTGGAAATACAAAAAAGAATAAATATTATTTAAAAAAAATTGTGTGGCAATATTAGGCAATATTAATCAGAAATGAATCCATAGAAGAAAAGGATAATAAAAGTAGAAATATAAGGACAGATAAATAAAATAATAAAAATAATAAAAAGATTTTATTTTATTTTATTATTTTTTAACTTTTACATTTTTTATTTGTGTTTTTAATTATTTTTAATTGATTTTTTTCATTTGTTTTATTTTTATTATTTTTTCATTTTCTTATTTATTTACTTTTAAATTTTTTTTATTTTTGTAATGTTGCTTTAGGAAATATGCACAGAAAAATGTGCGCAACAACATTTCTACTGCACACATTTTTTGCACATATTTCCTTTGCTTTTAAAGTGACATTATTAAAAAAATTGAAAAATTAAAAAAATGAAAACAATAATGAAAAAATTATACTTAAAAAAAATAAATTAAAAAATAATAAAACAAATTGATAAATTAAAAATTGCCATATTATTTATTTTTAATTTATTTATTCTTCCTTTTATTTCCACTTTTATTTTATTATTCTTTCATTGATTTATTTTTGTAGTGTGGCACTCTCACTACTCCATACACATCACAGGCAGAGTTAACAACATGTATGCATGCATAAAACTTTTAACTATGAGTCACGATTTGTGCAAAAAAGTTTTGATTTGTAAATGTGTCGCACCATATTTAAGTTAGACAGTCAGTCAGTTTGTTGTTTTTGTATTAGAAATTAGGTTAGCAAGCTTAATATAGTTTAATATAATGTTTAACATCAACAGTCGGTGTAAATTGGTGAAGTGGTGTAATGTTAAGCGACCAGAGGACGATAATGACAGAGAAGCTGGTAACATAAGCAGCATGTTTACACCTTTGCAACTTGAGGCTCCCTCTGGTGTTTATAAGATACCAGTGACCCCCACCGCCAACATTAAGACATGCATTCGTGTGACAGTTATTAACACCACAAGGAACTGACAGCTACTCAAACACCCAGAGCAGCAATATAGAAAAGCTCCTTTCAGGGTGCAAATGGTAAGAATCAGCCAACAATTATCAACTTGTGACATAAAGGTCAGTTAGTTTACCTTTTTTAGATTACTAACATGATTTGCTCAGCGGCACGACGATGCCAAATTTCATTTGCATGAAGCCATTAGCTTCGAAAATATCATTTATGAGCAAGAGATTGTTGGAGACAGTCAGCCTCACCTTCTTACATCCTAATCTCAGAGTTCTGACAAATATCCAGAGCATAAAAACAAAGCTCGGACCTAATTTTAACAAACAACACACAAATCTTGCCAATAACAAAATGTCCTGACATTCTTCAAAATCTAAGTGTTTATAATCAGTATATATTTTTAATACATCTTAATGTGAGCATGCATTAAAAGACAACATTTCAACTTGCATCCCCAGCATGAACAACCACAAAGCGATCAAAAACAGCCGCATAATGAAATTCTTTAAAAGCAAAACATATCCTTGAGACAGGTTGATTCACAGGTTGCACCATTAACAAGGTCAATGTACACATCTTGGTTTCCAAAAAACAAAACACAGATGATCAGTTTGCCTTTCTCATCTCCCAAGTTTGATTCAAAATAGTCTAAATGACATGACACAGCAGATAACGTATTCAAATTCAGAGTTTACGGTTAGTGTTTACATGCAACTACTAATGAAATCTGAAAAATAGCAACAGGTACAACACCTTTCTACAAAAAAATCATAATAACTAAATTATAAATAACTGCAAAATCAAAACTACGGTTGATATATATAACTAGAAAAGTACTTACAAACATGGATGCTACTCTAAGTGCATATCCATGCTCTTAGTGGTCAGCCATTGGACTGGAATGTTACTCAACACTCACCTTGGTTTATTATCTCGAGCCCAGTTGTTGCTCTTTGACAAATGAAGAAACTGACAGACGTAGATCAAAAGGCCGTAAAAACACAATAAGCCTCTTGAGCATGTGGCATTTGGCTTGAGTATCAACACAAGCCGGGTGCTATATTTGAGTTTTGCCCTAATAAGACAGAAGATTTCGGAGCAGGTATCGTGTGACACATGTTCACTGAAGACAGAGGCTCATTATATCTTGTGGGTAAGCGCTTTAGAATTTCTTCTTCTTCTTCACTGCTGTAAGTTGATCCTTTTTCCAATGGAAACACCGTCTAATGGTTGTCTACCCACACTTTTAAATTGTGCTTGCTGTGTGTCATAGTCTTGGCAAAATTTTTTATAGATTTACCATCTATGCCAACATCTTCAGTCGACGTCCAACAAACAAAACAGCTTAACGTCCCTAAAAATGCTCAGAGAAACATGGTGAACTTTCATCGACATGGGAAATCCCTAATCATGAGGTCATTTTTAAAAGACAAAAAGGAAGAAGAGCTGGCATCCGTCGCTCAGCTGCTCCACATTTAGGGATTGTCTCAGTCCCCCTTGTGTATCCCCTAAGAACAAGAATAAGAACAGCTGTTGGCGCTGTTGTGAGAGGTAATCCCTCTGCAATCCTTCCTTTTCTTTAAAGCTCATTGGCACTCATTTCATTTTTTAATAATTTCTGACTTGTAAGGACCGTGAAACAGTATATCAGTGACTTTTTAAAGCTTCTCCAAAGCATAGCAAAGAAGCTCTACTGTTGTGCCAGAGCACATTATAAAGATGCATTAGTCACACCTTTGGACTGTCTGTAACCGCTGACTTAACTCTGACCAGGAACTGAACCAACTTCACATCTGTGCATCCTCAGAAACACAGACAGAGCCAAACTCTCATCTGCATGCTTGCATCATATTTCAAAAAACACATGCATGGAGCTGAAGATGTTACGCTCATCTTTACATTTTCCAACAACAAATACAGGCGATGCTAATGGCAACACAATAATCTCATTATGTGCCAGTAATCACGGGTTTTTTTTAAAAATGAAATTTAAATTCCCAACCAATTTTAAACTCGTCAGTCATCTGGTATGACGGACATCACATAAACTTTGTAATGGCATGGATAGAGGGAAGAATTTCTGCACGAGCATAACACCACACGACATGACCAAATACAGCAACACCCACAAGATAGGCCCCCATCACTCCAGATAAAAGGAGCAGCAGACCCCCGTCACCATGCACAGCCATCCAGCAAAGGTAAGTTTCCTCCAGGCATCACAGAAAAAATATGCCAACATTGTGTTTCAAATATAAAATCATCAAAATATTTTCAGATTAATTTTTTTTTAAAGGATAATAGAGTTAAAGTGTTATTTTTTCCCCCCCAGAAGTCTGCACTGAAGCTTGCAACAAACCCTCCTGCTCACCTGGTGTGCTCCAAGGTAAACTAGATTCATAGAATGAGAATAAGTACTAGGAAATATGTGCTACTCTTATGAGCATCACAACTTTTTGGTACCTGTTAAAGGTGGGACAACCTGTATTTAAGCCTTCTTAATGGCAGGGCAATGACTTGACTGCATTGCTGTCACTAATTAGACACAGAAGAAGTTACTACCAGAGAACCCATCTGTCTACTTATGTCTGGCTTTTAAGATAAATGACAGTTATCTTGTTTCCTCACTTGCAGTAAAGGGTCATCATGAGTGGGGACCCGGAAATGGAGTGTTTCGGCCCGGCGGCCGTTTACCTCCGCAAGCCAGAAAAAGAACGACTCGAGGCTCAAAACACCCCCTTTGATGCTAAAACCGCCTATTTTGTGACTGAACCCAAGGAGATGTACCTTAAAGGGAAGCTGGTTAAGAGAGAGGGCGGCAAAGCCTCCGTGGACACTCTGTGTGGGAAGGTGAGAAGGCAGCACTGGAATAAACAGCTTATAGGTTGATGTAGTGTCTGGACTGGATGCATTAGTGCACCATTGCTAAAATGAGTGGCATTGTCTTGCAGCCATAGTTCCCCTGGTATAAATATAACAGCACCTCAGCTTCCCAACACAACATTTCTTACTAAGCAGCATTCAGATAGTGAGAAGAATCCGAATTAAGCTCAAGCGATATTGTTATTCCGAGCAAAGAGCAGCTTTCCAAGCATCAAACAAAACTAGAATGAAGCTTTCTTTAGGGCACTCTAACACGCTTTGCTGAAAGTAGATCAGTTGTATCCAAAGCACAACCAGGCAGACCAAAAGTCACCAAACCGTCAGAAGATCAAGACATCGAGCTTCGTTCGCTGAGATGGAAAAAACTTCACGAAGGATGCAACAATCCACAAAATCACTTCTTAAGAGTTGAACAAGGCCAAAAGCTTGAGGTGGCCGAAGATACACAAGCACCGTGGATGACTGGGAAAGTCCAGATTTAAGGGTGGTGGTAGTCAGAGAAGGGTGTATCTAAGGAGATAAACAGAACAGAGAACGATCCCACGGTGTATAAACCCACAGTGAAACATGGTGGTGGGAATGTTCAAGGACTTTCTGATGCTCTGGAGTTGGATGCCTGCACTGAAGTGACTTCATCCTTCAGTGACTTGTGTCACTCTGTGGTTTGCACCACAGTAGAGAAGGATTCATATTGCAGCAGGACAATGACCTCAAGCACGTCGTAAGCTTTGGAAAGAAGGCCGTGGAGTCACCTGATCTCAACCCCGCTGACATTTACGGCGACAGTTAAAGACAGAGAAAGTCAAGCATTTCTGGCATCATTAGAAGCGACTCCTACATCAGTAAGTCATGCAGAGACAACGTGGGTCATCAGGTTTTGCACCCCCTTGTGGAGTCAGTGCAGCTTGCTGTCATCCAAACAAAAGAGGGAAACACTGACTTTCAGCTTTGCATACCCAAGCTGACATTTGTGGTGGAAACATTTTGGATTAATGTAAAACAAGCATCTTTACAGTTTTTCTGCCTTTTGGACACACTGTTTATATCATGTTTCATCATTGGTCTGCAGAGGACAAATGATTCATTTAAGACAAGCGCGTACGACTCTTTTAAAACCTTTTCTGTGTCGTTGACAGTCTATCACCGTGAAAGACGATGAAATCTTCCCCATGAACCCTCCGAAGTTCGATAAGATCGAGGACATGGCCATGATGACCCACCTCAGTGAGCCTGCTGTGCTGTATAACCTCAAAGAGCGCTATGCAGCCTGGATGATCTACGTGAGTTTGACACGATGATCTCATCAGTATATGAATCAGGATGATGACTGCAGAGAGCTGTGAATGATGCTCTCCGTCTCCACAGACCTACTCGGGGCTGTTCTGCGTCACCGTGAACCCCTACAAGTGGCTCCCGGTGTACGATGCAGCAGTGGTTGCAGGATACAGGGGCAAGAAGAGGATTGAAGCTCCACCCCACATCTTCTCCATCTCTGATAACGCCTATCAGTTCATGCTCCAAGGTATCAATCATTCTGTCAGCGATTGCGTGTTCAGAAACTCAGACTGCCATAGTTCAGAACTCCTGACAGCTATATGTGATTCTGATGCCTACAGATAGAGAAAACCAGTCAATCCTGATTACGTAAGTATCAACAAATGTCATATGATTGGGTATTTCCAAAAACAGTAATGATTTCTTAATGATATCTGAACACACTCCTCAACCCAGCGGAGAATCCGGTGCAGGAAAGACTGTCAACACCAAACGTGTCATCCAGTACTTTGCGACAATCGCAGTGGCTGGAGGCAAGAAAGCTGAGCCGACTCCTGGTAAAATGCAGGTACGCAAAGTTGCACAATGTTTATATGAACTCTAACAATTAAACAAAGGATTGTTAGACTGACTAAATGAATGCTGTCTGTAGGGGTCGCTGGAGGATCAGATCATTGCGGCAAACCCCCTGTTGGAAGCTTATGGTAACGCCAAGACTGTGAGGAACGACAACTCTTCACGTTTTGTAAGTTATTGTGATGATTTTCCATCCATTTGAAATCATTAGTAATTAGTTGTGACAATCATGCGCTGTAGCAAACTTTCATTTTTGATATCAATCTGCTTGTGGACAGGGAAAATTCATTAGGATTCACTTTGGGTCAACTGGAAAGCTGGCTTCAGCTGATATTGAAACATGTAAGCATTTAAATAATCATCTTTCTTTTTTTTTTTTTAAAGAGAGATTTCCTGTAATTATTCACAACTTAAATCCAAATAGATCTGCTGGAGAAGTCTCGAGTGACGTTCCAGCTGTCTGCTGAGAGGAGCTACCACATCTTCTATCAGCTCATGACAGGCCACAAACCTGAGCTCATAGGTGAGCACTGGAGCCACATAGGACGTAGTTTTATAGATGCTTCACCTGAATCTGTACATTGAAGCATGTTCATTGTTTTTTCAGAGGCTCTTCTCATCACCACCAACCCTTTTGACTATCACATGGTCAGTCAGGGTGAAATCACTGTCAAGAGTATCAATGACGTTGAAGAATTCATCGCTACTGATGTGAGTACAACTTTATTTATTACAACTATGTCTGACCAGGCTTATTATGACTTTCATGACTATGACTTATAGTTATATAAAATGCTCATCAGTGCAATCCAATAATATATCCCTGTGATAAATCCTACCTCTATGAAGCTTACTGAGAATTTGTCTGTAAAAGGTGAATTCAGCTCTGTGGTAAACTTTCAGGCTGTCATTTAATGTGTGCTGCAGTGAACTATACTGCATGCAAAGGGAGAAAAATATTTATGATGGTCCGATAACCCTTCAGGTTTTAGCAGTATGGTACACCGACCCGTGTCTTTCTTGAGAAACTTTTGTTTTCTTATTTTATCGTAGATTAGATCTACCTGAATGTTAGTCCGTAGCTTTATTAACATAAATCAGTTTTATTATCAATTAGCTTCTTTTCACTTAAAAAAACAACTAATCTGTTTGTGTATTTTAAACTCATTCGTCACATCACAGACAGCCATTGACATCCTGGGCTTCACTGCAGAAGAGAAAGCGAGCATGTACAAGCTGACCGGTGCTGTGATGCATCACGGAAACATGAAGTTCAAGCAGAAGCAGCGAGAGGAGCAGGCTGAGCCCGATGGCACTGAGGGTACGAAGCCACTTGAAAGAGGAGCTTTGATTTATAGGTACATCTATGACTTTATCATATCATGTGTTTTAAAGACTACTGTTTGTGTTCTTCTTTCAGTGGCAGATAAAATCGCCTACCTCATGGGCCTGAACTCTGCTGATCTGCTAAAAGCACTGTGCTACCCAAGAGTTAAGGTTGGGAATGAGTTTGTGACCAAAGGCCAAACTGTTCCTCAGGTACAGATGAATAAGACACTTGTACATTGGTAATACCGTTCTCACTTAAGTTCACAATGTAACCAAAGCTACTTACCCGTACAGTTGTTGCCCCCCTCAACCCCCGTCCCCCCCTTTTTTTAAAAAAAAACTCAGTTTACTTCTAACATCCTTGTCAATATTGTACAATTCATCTGTACATGCAGGTGAACAATGCCGTCATGGCTCTCTGCAAGTCTGTCTATGAGAAGATGTTCTTGTGGATGGTCGTCAGAATCAATGAGATGCTGGACACCAAACAGCCGAGGCAGTTCTTCATCGGTGTGCTCGACATTGCTGGCTTTGAGATCTTTGATGTAAGTTTGGTGATACAGTTAAATATTTGTTTTGTTTTTTTAATGTATAATGCCTCAAAAAAATATTTGTATATAATGTATATAATTGTATATAATATTTGAATCATCAATGAGCAAATTATATGGGTTTGATACAAATAAATATTAAATTGTATTCCACCTTTCTCCTGTTAATATTCAGTTCAACAGCTTGGAGCAGCTGTGCATCAACTTCACCAATGAAAAGCTGCAACAGTTTTTCAACCATCACATGTTTGTCCTGGAGCAAGAAGAGTACAAGAAAGAGGGCATTGAATGGGAGTTCATTGACTTTGGCATGGACTTGGCTGCCTGCATTGAGCTTATTGAGAAGGTACTGCAGGAGAAATGTTAACTATGAAGACAAGTAATGTTATCTCTACCAGATTAAAAATGTTGTGCTTTGTGTTATCAACAGCCAATGGGCATCTTCTCCATCCTTGAAGAGGAGTGCATGTTCCCCAAGGCGACAGACATGACCTTCAAGAACAAGCTGTACGACCAGCATCTTGGAAAAAGTGCTCCCTTCCAGAAGCCAAAGCCGGCCAAAGGCAAAGCCGAGGCCCATTTCTCTCTGGTGCACTATGCCGGCACTGTCGACTACAACGTTGTTGGATGGCTGGACAAGAACAAGGACCCCCTGAATGACTCTGTGGTGCAGCTCTACCAGAAGTCTTCAGCGAAGCTGCTGGCATTCCTATATGCATCTCACGCCTCAGCAGAAGGTAACGATCACAACAGAATTATGAGTTTCTATCATTTTTATTAAATTTCATGGTGCATCAGTTTTGTATGTTGGTGGCGAAACAGAATACTGTTTATATAAAATGTTTTAAATCAGTTGTAAGTAAGTAATTGACTTTTATTCGTCATGTTACAGCTGAAGGAGGCAGCAAGAAAGGTGGCAAGAAGAAAGGTGGGTCTTTCCAGACTGTATCGGCGCTGTTCAGGGTGAGCAACACAAACAACTGCCTCGTTGCCTAACTGCGTCTGTACACCTTCTAATTTCAGATGCAAATAAAGGTAGCACTTAGAGCTAACAGGATTTATTTATGAGTATGTCACAATCCATATTTTTCCATATTTCAGGAGAATTTGGGCAAACTGATGACCAACTTGAGGAGCACTCATCCTCATTTTGTACGTTGTCTGATTCCAAATGAATCGAAGACTCCTGGTAGGTTTAATAATAATTTATGAAGCATCGTTAATTATGCAACACAAAACTGAATTTAGCATGACTCTAAGGTCTCATGGAGAACTTCCTGGTCATCCACCAACTGAGGTGTAACGGTGTGCTGGAGGGCATCAGGATCTGCAGGAAGGGTTTCCCCAGCAGAATCCTCTACGGTGACTTCAAGCAGAGGTGAGTATGGATGAACCACATTTCACCCAATTTTGTGATCAGTTATTTTTCAACAATCAATTCATCTCCTTTCAGATACAAAGTATTGAATGCCAGCGTCATCCCTGAGGGACAATTCATTGACAACAAAAAGGCTTCAGAGAAGCTCTTGGGCTCTATTAACGTTGACCACACTCAGTACAAATTCGGACACACAAAGGTAACTTGATGTGTTTCTTTAAAACTGCTGCTAAATTCTGATGCTGCCAGTGAGCTTCACCATTTTGTACCACTGTTTTCCAGGTGTTCTTCAAAGCTGGTCTGCTGGGTACCCTGGAGGAGATGCGAGATGAAAAACTTGCCATCCTGGTCACGATGACTCAGGCCCTTTGCAGGGGTTTCCTCATGAGGAGAGAGTTTGTCAAGATGATGGAGCGCAGGTACTGCAGACGTTTTAGGTTTACACATCCAACCAGAGCTGTGTAATCGTAGATGACAACCTGAATGTCATGTCTGAGCCAACTATGTGTTTTGGGGTTCAACCCATCCTTGTTGTTGCAGCTTTCAAAATCTGAAAAAAATCAATTTCCCTCAATTCTGCCATCCCCAGGGAGGCGATTTTCTCCATCCAGTACAACATCCGCGCATTCATGAATGTCAAAACCTGGCCATGGATGAAGCTGTACTTCAAGATCAAGCC